CTAGGGTCTGTCTGTCTGTCTGACTGTATGTATGTATGTATGTATGTATGTATGTATGTATGTATGTATGTATGTATGTATGTATGTATGTATGTATGTATGTATGTATGTATGTATGTATGTATGTATGTATGTATGTATGTATGTATGTATGTATGTATGTATGTATGTATGTATGTATGTATGTATGTATGTATGTATGTATGTATGTATGTATGTATGTATGTATGTATGTATGTATGTATGTATGTATGTATGTATGTATGTATGTATGTATGTATGTATGTATGTATGTATGTATGTATGTATGTATGTATGTATGTATGTATGTATGTATGTATGTATGTATGTATGTATGTATGTATGTATGTATGTATGTATGTATGTATGTATGTATGTATGTATGTATGTATGTATGTATGTATGTATGTATGTATGTATGTATGTATGTATGTATGTATGTATGTATGTATGTATGTATGTATGTATGTATGTATGTATGTATGTATGTATGTATGTATGTATGTATGTATGTATGTATGTATGTATGTATGTATGTATGTATGTATGTATGTATGTATGTATGTATGTATGTATGTATGTATGTATGTATGTATGTATGTATGTATGTATGTATGTATGTATGTATGTATGTATGTATGTATGTATGTATGTATGTATGTATGTATGTATGTATGTATGTATGTATGTATGTATGTATGTATGTATGTATGTATGTATGTATGTATGTATGTATGTATGTATGTATGTATGTATGTATGTATGTATGTATGTATGTATGTATGTATGTATGTATGTATGTATGTATGTATGTATGTATGTATGTATGTATGTATGTATGTATGTATGTATGTATGTATGTATGTATGTATGTATGTATGTATGTATGTATGTATGTATGTATGTATGTATGTATGTATGTATGTATGTATGTATGTATGTATGTATGTATGTATGTATGTATGTATGTATGTATGTATGTATGTATGTATGTATGTATGTATGTTGTATGTATGTATGTATGTATGTATGTATGTATGTATGTATGTATGTATGTATGTATGTATGTATGTATGTATGTATGTATGTATGTATGTATGTATGTATGTATGTATGTATGTATGTATGTATGTATGTATGTATGTATGTATGTATGTATGTATGTATGTATGTATGTATGTATGTATGTATGTATGTATGTATGTATGTATGTATGTATGTATGTATGTATGTATGTATGTATGTATGTATGTATGTATGTATGTATGTATGTATGTATGTATGTATGTATGTATGTATGTATGTATGTATGTATGTATGTATGTATGTATGTATGTATGTATGTATGTATGTATGTATGTATGTATGTATGTATGTATGTATGTATGTATGTATGTATGTATGTATGTATGTATGTATGTATGTATGTATGTATGTATGTATGTATGTATGTATGTATGTATGTATGTATGTATGTATGTATGTATGTATGTATGTATGTATGTATGTATGTATGTATGTATGTATGTATGTATGTATGTATGTATGTATGTATGTATGTATGTATGTATGTATGTATGTATGTATGTATGTATGTATGTATGTATGTATGTATGTATGTATGTATGTATGTATGTATGTATGTATGTATGTATGTATGTATGTATGTATGTATGTATGTATGTATGTATGTATGTATGTATGTATGTATGTATGTATGTATGTATGTATGTATGTATGTATGTATGTACTGTAAAGTCTATGGTATTTGATGTCGTTGTGAAAGCCCAGATTATCTGAGTATTCTAAGCTGCTATCTGAGGTTTTGACAGCACCGTGGCTCAGAAAGTTGCATCTTTGATGCAATTCTGTCAGAACAAATCTTAGTTTTCCAGTTCAGCCTCTTATTTAAGAAGTTGAAATTAGAAAAACTGCGCAACGGATATAGCCAGTACTGCCCAGGTGTCCTCTGTTTTCTTGGGTGGTTAAGGAGTTTATATATATATATATATATATATATATATATATATATATATATATATATATATATATATATATATATATATATATATATATATATATATAACTTCCGGTCAAAATGGACGCTAGACAGGGGCACTGATTAGAGCCGAGGCAAATGTTTGCTACTGCCGGACTGTAGCCAGTGCATTTTTGATCCATTTTTAGACTAGATTTCTGATCTGCTGGTGACTTTTGCTACCATCCATGATGAACTGTATTTCTAATGTCGGACTGTTTGTGTTAGCACTTCGGATGACTACCGTATGCTTTAATGCGTGTGTATGCTAGATATGCTGAGACAGCAGTCTGTCAGTCTTTCCACAATGGACTGTGATAAACATGCATATTTGTTGTGTAATTGTTGGAAGTTTTCAGTCTTTGCAGACGATAGTGTAGTATTGTGCTAAATGGAGGCATGCAAGTCACACCTCTTTTCCACGGCAAAAATCCTGGGCAGTATTGTGGTACAGACATTCCACATTCTGCCAAAGGCTTCGGCAGAGGATACCAGCCGTGTCCTAGGAAGAGGAAATTCATCCTAAAAACCTTGCCTTATGGCAAGACAGACAAGGTCCTAAGTCTTGGCTGGCAGCTGGTCTGCAAGGGAAGCTTCGACACGCAGACCGATAGAGCACTGCTCTTCTGATCTGGAAGCTGCTTCAGTGTGCTTTGCTCCAAATGTACTTGTGTTAAATTTCCTTTGGGGTACACAAGGCAAGCCGAGTGAGCGATCATGATATTAATATCTATTGATGTACATTATACAATTGTCACAGTCCATCGTTATATAGCATGTTTACAGTTTATTGATATTCAACATCCTCACAGTCTTTTGATGTACAACATACTCACAGTCTATTGACAAACAACATATTCACAGTCTTTTAATATATAATGCTTCACATTTTTTTTAATGTGCAACATGTTCACAGTCTATTGTTATATAACTTGTTCCCCGCTTCTTGACGTACAGTATGTTTACAGCCTGTCGATATATTGCTTGTTCACATTCAATTCATAAATAACCTAATCACATTCCATTGAAATAACTTGTTGACATTTTATTGATAGATGACGTGTTCACAGTCTAGTCACGTACAATATGACCACAGTTTATTTATATACAACGTCTTCACAGCCTATTGACGTATGGCTTGTTCATATATATGTGTGTGTGTGTGTGTGTGTGTGTGTGTGTGTGTGTGTTGACAGCATGTTAAAATACAAAATAGGTAAATATCTACAAAAAGCTGTAAAGAAGAGGGTTTATGTAATTTCCCAGCCATTTATCAACATCACATCCGTGCCTTTCAACATTACACTGCAGTAAATATTTCCAAAACCTGAAATTGTTTTTATCTTCCAAGACATTTCTTTTGAAGGATTCCCCTTAGAAATTTCTGTTGTAGGATTTTTCTAAGGCATTTTTTGTTGTTGGGAGGATTCCCCTTAGACATTTCTTTTAAAGGATTTCCCTTAGATATTTTGTTTGTAGGATTCTCTTTATATTTCTTTTGAGGGATTCTCCTTGGTCATTTCTTTTGAAGGATTCCCCTTGGTCATTTCTTTTGAAGCATTCTCCTTAGAAATTTTTTTTGTAGGATTCCCCTTGGACATTTCTTTTTTGTAGTATTCCCCTTGGACATTTCTTTTGTAGTATTCCCATTGGACATTTCTTTTGTAGTATTCCCATTGGACATTTCTTTTGTAGGATTCCCCTTGGACATTTCTTTTTTGTAGTATTCCCCTTGGACTTTTCTTTTGTAGTATTCCCCTTGGACATTTCTTTTGTAGTATTCCCATTGGACATTTCTTTTTTGTAGTATTCCCCTTAGACATTTCTTTAGTAGGATTCCCCTTGGACATTTCTTTTGTAGGATTCCCCTTGGACATATCTTTTTTGTAGGATTCCCCTTTGACATTTCTTTTGTAGGATTCTCCTTTGACATTTCTTTTGTAGGATTCCCCTTTGACATTTCTTTTGTAGGATTCCCCTTTGACATTTCTTTTGTAGGATTCCCCTTTGACATTTCTTTTGACGGGTTCCCCTTAGACATTTCTTTTGTAGAATTCCCCTTAGATATTTCTTTTGAAAAGTCTCTAGTCTATGTTTAGTTCGAGTTGTCATTTCTCGGCAGTCATTGTTGTATAATAAATCTGTCATTGCGTATACATTATAGAAGAAGTTTATTCCTTGTTCCAGTGTCTCTGTGTTTTCTATGATGGTCAGTGTTTGCCTGCCTTCTCTGTTGCTTTCATCTTAGTCTTTGTTTTGTCTGATACATGGATTTGAAATCTAAAAAGACAGACCGGCAGGCTGCCCGACAAACAAATGGACTGATGAATAATGAGTTGAGGGATGGATGAGCTGATGGATGAGAAGATTGGGGAGAGAGGAGGGGTTGTGTATGGGCCCATATGTGGATGGATGGATGGATGTATTGATGGATGGATAGATGAGAAAATGGTTGGACATGTAGGACTGTAGCTAGGTTGAAGGTTAGGCCAATGATTAGATGGAAGACTATTCGATGAATTGGTAATTTCAGATCAAATACAAATATCACATCAGTGAAAAAAATCAACAGCAACTAACAAATGCCACAGCCGTGTATGATCACTATCTATGTGTATAACATAACTTGAAGTAAACAATACGTGCGACATCACAGGCGCTACTTCCCCAAACATATCTCCATGATATCGCATAAACATTGTGTAAATAACTGCATATGTTTGCAAGACACTGAGAGATAATGCCACAGGGTATTTATAACGCTGAATGCCACACCACACGGGTTGCTATGGAAGGCCGCGAAACCCAGGAGGAATCCCAAACCTATAAACAGGACATAAACTACACAATAATTAAGAATGGTAGCCATCAGTCTGATGACACATTTAGAATAATCTTTAGCAATAACTACTAAATCGTTCCACAACTGGCCTATAAATAGTCATAACGTTAGTAACCACTCCGATATTCGACGGTCTCGCAGTCTTTTGTCAACTCGGGTCTCTATTCCGTGATCTCTGAGCATAATGGAGAGGTGGTCGACTTGTTCGGCTTCTGTCCCGGAGTCGGATTCAACGTTGCCGATTTCTGTTGCCTGCAGCAACCACGGATCGTTGGCATACTTTGCTAGCTCCTTCACCGAACTGCGACGATGTGGTTTGATTTCCAACGTTTTTCTAAAGAATTTTAAGATCCGTGGTGTGAATCTCCTCCACTGCGATGGAACCTTTGTTGTTTTTCTTCTTTGCCACAGAATAAACTCCTTGAAATAAATGTCCCCAATGTCTGCGTTTTCCCAGGGAAAGTTCCCCGTTAGCATGCAGAATAACAGCACACCCAAAGCCCATACGTCGGCTCCTGTAGTGACCTGAATGCTCTCATTTCGAACAGCTTCGCAGACTTCTGGAGGAGTGTAAGGAATGCTGCCATTTGTTTTACGAACCATCGCCCCATCTCGACGACTCATGCCAAAGTCCATCAGTTTGACCCTAGAAAAATCTGGAGCCATAACGAGGATATTCTCTGGTTTAATATCTCTGTGAACTAGCTTCTTGCTATGCATGAACTCCAGCGCTGATGCTAATTGTCTGATGACTGTTTTTGTATCCTGTTCAGACATGCCAATTTGAGGCGGGATGGAATCAAAAAGGTCCCCCAAGGGAGCATATTCTAGCGCAAAGACATAACTGGCTCGTGTTTCAAAAGCCACATTGTAGGTGTCGACGATATTTGCATGAGGGGAAAGGTAATAACTGATGTTAAACTCCCTCTGAAAGTCTCTCAGTTTCGTAGACGATTTCGGTAGGATCTTGAGGGCTATCTTTGTTCCCGTTTCCTTGCACACGGCCTGCACAACCTTGCCGTACGTTCCTTTACCTAGATCTCCATTTATCTCGTAGTGGTCGCGCAGACTTAGCATTTGAAGATTCTCAGATGTGCTGCTTCTGGGTGACCTAGATTTTGACTTCACCGAAAGAAGTTCTTCATCAGACTCTGAGTTGAAGAGAGATGAATTTGGCCTCAGAAAGTTGGTGTTTGCATTGCTTTCTGGCGCCGGCGATGGCGTTGTTAGTAAAGCCATATTTAATAGACAACTAGAGTAACAAAAGACATCATATGCCCATGAAATGGCTATAGTTTATCCTTGTGTGTCAAGCCTCAGTACGCAGAATTATTGAAAGTCTTGTACCATATTATGAAGTCCCTGCATGAAAATACAAAGAAGCTCGTCCACAGCTTTGTTTCATTTTGTTCCATGAGAAACCTATGTCGTTATCAAAATGTTTAAATCCTTGGTTGCGTTTCAATTACAAGCATTCTATGTCTAAAATAGCAAATTCGTAGGTTCATCTCCAAAGTTTGATACGTCCATCGTGGCTCTAAAAAAATGGAGTAATCTAAACAGAAGACTTCAAGGCAGAGGTATGAAACCTCGCAGCTGAGAAGTCCGAATGATCGATGGATCAACTCTCTGTTATTCCGTTTGAGAAGTATTTTAGGAACACTAGATTGGCCGTGGCTACGACAAGAGTGGGGAAAACCTTGTCTGTGTGTTTATGCCCCCAGGAATTCTTTACTTCGTTGGTGAAGAAAAGGATTTCATTATCTCCAGGCTAACGGGCGTCTGTGTAGGGACATTCTGGACAGATGAGTCATCTGAGAAAAGAGAAAGAAAGCGTAAAAATGTTACAATATTTGCCTATAATGTTCTTAAAGGAAAAAAAAAACCGCCTACGAAAAAATGTCAGGTTTAAAAATCAATGGAACAGAAAGACGTGCACTGTTCCGCAAACGTAGGCAGAATACACATTTAGGCGTAGGAGGTGTGTCTAAATAGAATCTTGATTAAATTACTTTAGAGTTCACATTTACAAATAATTATAAAGGCAAAAAAACCACATTAAGTTGGAACTGCTAAATATATAACATGTTTACTGAATAATGTGAGAAGATAAAAGCTAAAAAGACGAAGAAGACGAGGAGGGAGAAGAAGAACGAACGAACACAAGGAACACAAACTGGGCTCGCAATCCCGTTTTACATTCGGCACATCCAAACATACATCTTTTATACTGCAGCTGTTTTGTATCGGTACAGCAGGTTATGTAATATGATAATATATACAATATGAATATCATGCAAAAAGTATTGATATAAACAAAAATTTCCCACTCCAAGCAACACGGTCCGTAGCATATGGTTTCCAGATCTATCTACTTTTATCCCACCAGGACCTCACACAAGCGATAAACACCCGATGACACAGAGTGCCACCATGCGGATGAGGATCACCGTGGAGAGGTCCCAGAAACCGCTTTCAGCCTTTAGACCATATTTATGGCCGGGCTATTTTGCGGCCGCTGGCAAGAGCCAGAGTGGGGCTTCAAATAACGAAAAATTGCATCCCACAGGGAGATTACATGATTGTAACGGATCTTTGTGGTTCCCGAAATCACGGCCGACTATTTATACACAACTGGAGCTGATCGTACACAGAATCTACCTCAAGTTCATTACACTAAATATGTGACCTTCTTCTTCTTCTTCTGCGTTCGACATCAGTCATGCTAAACATTGAGTCCCGTCTGAGTCAAAAATAGGATTGTGCGTTTAAGGTCGCCACCGGTCCCCCATAGCTTCTCTCGCAATGTGGATCCCCTGAGCCAGATCCACAGTCTTGGCTGGGAGAGGTAAGGGCAGTACTGCAGGTATGTGCTCAGGCGTCTGTCTTTCTGCTCCACAATCACAGGCAGCAGATTCTTTTATGCCTATCCTGTACAGGTGTGCTCGAAGACCACAGTGTCCAGTCCGAAGTCTAAAAATTGATGTTTGTTCTTTCCTGTTGAGTTTGTTAATGCTGTCACTCTCTAGTCTGTAATCTCTATTCTGCTTTCTCCACTCCCGCTTGAAAGACTGCTTTAGTGCTGTTTTGGTTTCCTTGTAGCTGTGTGGTGGATGAGGTTGTGGAAGATTACTCCCAGCTTTTTTTTTGTCGGCACTACTGTAATAGACAGACACTGTGTGGTGTGTACCGGCACCTGTATACTGTGTGGTGAGTACTAGCACTTGAAAAAAAAAAAACTTTGTGGTAAATTTCGACACTGTTTTATTCGTTAAAAAAAGTCCTGGTTAAGACAGATTTTCTTATATGAGTCTTAAGAATGTGATCCCTATTGAAAATTCTAGATCTGTGTTTATCATTAATATTGTAAGATTTATAACGTCTGCTGTTGCATGATTCAAACCGGCAGAGGAAATGGGTGTAAGAAAATGAAATCGCAGAGACAGAACAAGCCAGAATTCTACCACTCTTAAAGCCATTTAAACAACATAGGCAGGCTGCTTATATTTGATGTGTAAAGGTGAGATAAAGCACACGTGACGTTGCCATAGCTTTCTGTGGGCTGTTAAACGTTTCCAATTTTGTCATAGGCGTCAGAACGTGGGGGCTTCCAGTATTTTGACCCCAATTTGGACCTGGCGGAGGGGGGGGGGCATAAATGTCTTGAGCCCCCGTCCGCCCCTCCGAAACATAGGCTGAGGCTCCTCGAGCAGGGCCCCTCGTATTTTCTTTGTGGCGACCCCCTCCCAACCCTCCTGGCTCTGATGGTGTGGAAATAACAAAAGAATATTTCATATTTATTATAAGGGGCAATGTAATTCTTAGAGTTTGTTGAGCTAGTGAATAAAACAAGAGCTGATGACCGTATTAAACATGGGACAACTAGACATTTAGGCCGCATTCACATGCACAACACTCTCATGAAAGGAGAGAGAATAAAGGCAAAAGTGGAAGATCGGTGAGTATCACGTAGTCAGTGTTTTGATGCTTTGGTCGTTGGGAGGGAGGGAGGGGGGTCAAGTCTGTTCTTCCCCTCTCCACCCCCCCCCCCCCCCATAATAGGTCTCTGGAACCTACACTGGGAGACATTGATAGAAGTAAAATGAAAGTAACTTCAAAAGTTGGGTCAAGAAATTTGATTCAAGAACCGACATTACCGCACCCCAGGGCATTTCCATAAGCGCTCCATCCCGATCTATAGCAGCCAGTGCACAGTTCCAATACTAAAGGTGCCTGTAGCATTATGATTAAACGCCTGTCTTGCCTTTCGAACAGCCAAGCTCCAGTGTGGAGCCAGTACCTGATTAAATGTTTGCAGACAATTGCTTTCAATCTTGAACTATTTCGCCTACGTATAACGAAGCTTTGGCGTAGTCAATTGCAGTGATGCGAATTAAATGTTCATTTCATCTCCCAAGAGGAAGACAAACGACTTCATTTGCAAGCCAGCTTCAAACAGTTGGCCAGTTAACTCTTCTTTGTCGAAGTCTCTCATCTTTTGCCAGCATAAGTAATGACCGCCCGAAGGTCTAAGCTCCGAAACTCTATCGATTCGGATTTGTTTCTCCATTATGACTTTGGCTTTCAGGTCGACCCAGCCTACGCGTTGAAGTGTGTGTGTGTGTGTGTGAGTGTGTGTGTGTGTATGTGTGTGTGTGGGGGGGGGGGGGTGTAAAGATATTAGGTAGGCGTTTTAAAAAAATGCTTTGTAAACGTCTTTATTTCTTTAATGAAGTTTTGGAGCTGTCGTTTAATATTTGGTGTGGTCTTTTCTTTGCCCTGTGTTTATTGTCTATTCTAGGCGCGGTTCTGTGTGGCAGATTGCACAGTTAGGTCCCAATGTGGGGGGAAGGGGGAATTAAGGGGCAAAACCATCTTATCTGTTGCTCCGTAAAGTGCAATTGTGAAACGCAACAGGGTTGTCTGGTGCGAAGAAAACCAGCTAGCATCTAACAAGTCCTGTTTTTTACGGTTGATCCTCGCTGAGAGGAGCAACTATCCGAACGGCTAAGATAGCTGGGCCCTGTTGAGCCAGGTTCGAATTCTCGACAGGGCCGGATCAAGATCCTTTGATGTTCTAGGCACTACGTATTTAGTTGCCCCCTCGAGACAGCATTATGGGCTCTGGGCAAGCAGTGTGCTGGAGCCCCTAAGACAACCGAAGGGCCCAATTAAATACAAATGGTCACTTGACATCAACAGATTTGCAGGGTGCTGCTATGCTCCAGGGGTCCCGGGCAAGTGCCTAACGGACTCATGTGTAAACAGGGCACTGATGCCCTCATATATGTAATGCTAAATTAAACAATATTAAATCATAAAATAAAACTGTATCTATCGAAATTAAGCAAAACCTTCAGTGAGTTTGAAACATGTTATTTCTATTTTTACTCCCCTATTTTTTTTTTTTTTTTAATTGCGGAGAGTTTGATTACATCCTAAAAATAAATATTGTGCAACACATCTGATTCTATACTAAATAGAAATAAGACGTCCAGTTTGTCTTGTTGCCTTGTACTGAATACGATTTTTTTTTTTTTTTTTTTTAATATACTTTGCTTCAATTGAGAAAATAAAGATTTAGTAAGTTCCAAGATTAGCGAACATTTATGTGGTGTCCCCTTCCTTTGTAACGCCTCCTCCCTTTATGATGCACTAAGCACGTGCCTAGTGTGCTAATGATTAGCGCGGTCATAACCCTCGGTTAGGTTGGGGATATTTTTTTGTCGATTGCTAAAATAAATCTGAACCCCACAGTCCCTGACGACAGCACTAAACATGCGGGCCTGAATCATCAGACTTAACGATCCCACTGCCTGCACCGCAGAGGTGGTAAATAAGGCAGGAATGGCAGATCACCGCTGGAGAAAATAATCATGTTTAAATCTTAAACCCTAACAGTCTCGATTTAAAAATCATGTTTAAATCATAAACCCTAACGTTCTCGAAAAAATAATCATGTTTAAATCTTGAACCGTAACGGTCTCGAATAAAAAATCATGTTTAAATCTTGAACCCTAACGGTCTCGAATAGCATGTTTTGCACAAGATTGTACACGTGAGAAAACCATACCAAAGTAATTCGCCACTGATGTGCCCTATCCCATGACTGTTTGCACTGTGAAAAATTTCGGAAGTAATTATCTCAGTGCCTTCACTAACTATTTAATTTCTCTTTCAGAGGATACAGAATTTGGTTCACGAGTGCAATTTTTTACGGTGATTCCCTCCCCCCCCCC